TTATCGTTAGGCTACCAAGACCGAAAGTGGCATTTTAATTAATTGTAAGATTCATGTCGGTCCTGTTTCGCTCGTTATCGTTCAACGCTAATAGTTAACGCGTCGCGCTCACGTCGTAATAATTAATCAACGATTGAAGGCACGTAGTGGAAAAGAACCCTCACAATGCGTGTTACCATGTTTTAAGGGATGCGCGTTACAGGCGCGTCGGTGCTTCGAAATACGCTCCGCAAGACACACGTGGGTTAAAATTAGATACGCCGATTATATATAAAATGTACTCTCCTCGCATCAACGCTGCGCAATATACTCTGATAAAACTAATCGGCTCTTTAAAAAAAAAAACAACGTACGTCGTATCCATACGTACGAATATCGATACGTGTATAAATTTCCTTAATTAGCCTACATCTTCCGCGTCTATACAAGCTGTCGCAAGTTTGATCTGCAAACCGATAGATATTTCGGTAGAGCATGTAACATACGTTAAATGAGAGAGACGGAAAAAGAGGTCAAAACATATAATATAAAAGAGAGAGAGAGGAATAGCTTGCGATTAACGTAGTTAATCTATACGAAGTCTCTTCTATGCGAAAAGTCACCGAAATAAGATATATTTGCGTATACTTTTGGATATACCGCTTACATTTTCGTATCGCTCGACGAATATCTAATTAATGCGCGGTATACCACACGCAATCGAAGTAGAATTTATTAAAGCTTAACAATAACGTATTTTTACTTACTGCTTGTACTATTGTACTTATAGTGCACTCTGTAATCGGTATAAAAAAAAAAAAATAATAATAATGCGTATCGATAACAATGACTATAAAGTAATATACGCACTCTTAAATAAAATAAAACATAATATAATAGAGCTTCAAGTTGCCTTACGTAATACATTAACGGTGGCAATTTAACTTCGAAGATCTTCGACATTTTGGATCTATGTTATAAAATAGTGGTGCATTTGATCACATGGCTGGCAGGTACTGCATTATCATGCATTATTTCATACACATTCTGTAAATATCTCTTCTCACGCTATAAAAATTCTATTGTGATAAATATGGAATGACTTACATATATATTGAGGTAGTATTGCTGGAAGTAGCTTTGGTCTGCGTTTAGGGAGACAAAGTATCGACGAGAAATTATCAAGCATTAACCCTAGCTGTTCGTCCGTTCTCCATTCGCGTTTTTTTTTAGCATATTCGAGTTTGAATGAAACGTGCTACACAATTGCAAATTAATAATTATTTATATCTTGCATCTCGAAAACCGCTAGGCAAAAAGGTAAAAAGGTAAAATTTAACTTTTGCACTCTTCAACATTTTCGGTATTGTAGGTAATAAATCTATAAATAATCTGCCTCTTAGAATACAGAAAACCTGTCTGTTCGTTTGATTGCAAATTGAAATTTCCTCGATACTTTGCCTCGATAGGTTTGAGTATTTCGATAATCGGCTTGTATATAGGTATATAGATATCAAATCTGCATTTTATCAGTCTTACATTAATGAACACGTAGTTTACATGAGGTATTTCGTTATTATCATTACTGCTGATATGCTTGAGCAATATTGCAATCGTATCCCGGAACTGTGGTCAGTAACGATCAAATACAACGAAGTACTTACAATTGCTAACAAATTAACAGCGACCGACGTCTATGATTATTAAATGATAAATAATACGAAATAATACGAGGTTCGCGAATGAAATGATAGGTCAGCAAATATGCAAGTGGCAAACCGAGATCTATCATCATAGAAAGTATTTCCATTGCTTGCATTTATTGCTGGCACGTTGTCATTAATAAAATATCCCGCTATTGAATGATTCTGATCTCGTCACGCGATAGCGAATAGAGAAGAGGACACCTTGTACATAGCGTCAGATTTCGTTCATGGACTTCGTATTATTTCGCTGTCAATTTGTTAAAGCTTTAATGCTATTACACAAGTGTTGCCGCACAAACGAATATGTCGCAAGACAAAAGAAATTCCTAAATGTTGCGCGGTATAATACCAATTACAGATGTATTTATCTTACCTAATAATTTTACAGATATTTTCGAACGAAGTTTCGAGATATTTTTTTAAATCTGTTTTTTTCTTATTTTATGTCTTTTCACATATTTTTCTTTCTCATCGTCGTTCGTGTTGAAAACTCCAAAGTGAACATTGGCTGGCGACACGTTCTTTTGTGCAAACCATTGCTTTAAACCGTAAATTTTAAAGAGTTTCAGGCGAATATACCTTATAGGCTAGCACTAAACTATGCGCGAATCGCGAATCACGAACAACGAATCAATAAATTTGCAATAATTAACAGCTTTATCGTTACTTTAGTACTTTACTTTTTTTTTAATTGATCATGCGCATTATGATTAGTTAGATCTTATTTGCGAACAAGCTAAAACAGGAATAAATACATTTACGTTCGCCTGCTGTATCAAAATGCATATCCGAAGAACTAAGATAAAACATCCCAGCAAAGCGTTATCAGTAGGCTAGCAATCTGTTTACCAGCAGATTCGAGTAAAATATAAGTAGATTGTCAATTACGTCCGCGTTAATCTCGTGTTCTGCCGCAATGGAACTTGCGCCGACAGAATCTGACGGCAATAATCTGCCAGAAGAAACCGGGCAGAATCTGTGTGTCATTTCGTTGAATTCATAAAATAAAATACATCATTTGAATGATTATGATTAATAACTTTATTTAATAATTAAATGATTATGATAATGAAATGGTAGATACTGCTCGGTTTCTCTACAGTCGCGATCTGCTAATCACATTCAAATTCCGCCAATATTGTCCGCATATGGTCTGCCGACCGAATTTGTGACAGATACTCTACAAAATCTGTTTTCGACTCTATCTGGGATGAAAATACACATTCGGTAAAGAAATACGAGAGAAAAATTCTTCTGCAACTATATACGACGGATAGAGTGATAAGATGCGAGTAATGAGGAGCTCAACATAAAAATAAATTTATTGCAGTTTGTTGGAGAAACAGAAATTAAGAAAATTAATGAGAACCATGTAAAAATGGCTATTTCGAAATGCCTAATTGACTTTCTCGTATACCATAACTTTACGAAGTTCAATGTATGGAGGAAAAAACCGGCAAAATCTCTAAAGTGAGACAATTTTTTAATTTTGAAAAGCAACTCAACTACTCGTATCTTATTACTCTCGTTTCTGGGCCGCAAAAGTTAGCTGTAGTCGCAGCAGTCGTTACTATCAAGCCCTGCTTCCTGCGCCTCGTCTTTAATCGCGACCGATGTAGTGGACGGCGGTATTATCACCGGAACGTCGGATTTGCGACTCACCGACAGATCTTCTACTTGATCATCCAGGTCCTGCTGTTGCTGCTGTTGCTGCTTCTGCTTAGAGCAGCGTATCACCGGACTCGCGCTGCAACGGGTCATCGAGTCTGACATTGAGTCGCGGTCCTGCGACGTGTCCTTCGTTGCCTTCGCATAGGTGGTCTCAAAAACTGCGGCGGCACTGGTGCCGGCCAAACTCTCGATGACGTTGATGTTACTGCTGCCGCTCTCGTTCTCGTTCTCGGACAGGGCATTAACACCGCCGCGGTTGTTGTCGTACAGAGCGCCGTTCGCATTGGCACCGATGCCGTACGGGAAGCAGGCCGTGCTACCACCGTTGCTCGTCGAGCGCCTGAACGGCCGCGACGTCGGGATGCCGAGCTTTTTCACCTTGTCGTAAAGCGTACGCGATGGCACCCCGTATCTTCGCGCCGCCGCGACGGCGCTCATCCCCGTCTTCACCGCCTCGATCGCCGACAGGATGTCTTCTCGGGTGTACTGCTTATAGCGTTTCCACTCTGGTTTTTGCGGCACGCAGTCCGGAGCAGCTACGATAAATCGGTAAAATGTAGTCGTTACGATATCTAAAATTTATCGAGGTATGCAAAATTCTAATGTCATTATAATACTAAAGTATAAAAATTGGATATGTTCGGTGTAGCTAAAAACAGATGGAACTTTTATAACGGGGAATACAAGCTAGCTTTTAATATCCTGAATCGCGACATTATTCTCCGCTGCGAATTTTATAGTAAAAACATATTACACGTGTTATAATAATCTTATTAATGTTATATAATATAATTATGATATATAAAATAACATAATAATATTATATATTATTAATAAAAAAAATAATTCTTTATATTTTCGTGTGATTATTAAACTATAAATACTTCGTTTACCTTCAGTATTCACGTTAGCAGTTCTTCTAACGCTATCGTCTGCCTCTGAGTTTTGTTCGCACGACGTAAATGGCGTTATACTTCGTAGATATTGGGAATATACAGTGTATAACTTAAAAAAATCCGTATCTGCGATCCCCGATATGATATTTGACGTGCTATCGCTACCTGTATTTCTCGCGGTATCCCCGCCGTACGACTGCGGGGACGGTTGTCTCTCATCCTCGTCCATGTAGGAAACGTCGGCGTGGACGGCCTCGCCGTGGGACAGGTCGTTGCTGCGGCGATTGTCGCTGTCGTTCGCGGACCCGTTGCTGCTCGCGTTGCGATAGTGCACCGACTCGTGGCTGTCCGGCTGCAGCAGCGGCATCGTCTGCGAACTGTCAACGTGAGCCTGGCCGAGGACCGTGCGCAAGATCGGCGTGTCGTGGTTCATCAGCAGGGCTGACGACGGCTGCATCGGCTTCCGGCGTTTGAGCGGCGAGGTCTCGATACCGTTGTCGTACCCGCCGGCGCCGGGGCCGCCAACGAGGACGGAGGAGGAGAGCGACGTCGGGAGCTGATGACCCGCGCCCGCGGAGTGCAACGGAAGCGGCCACGTAATCGGCAACGAGCCAGCGAGGGGATGACTTTGAACGCGGTCGAGCGAGACCGCGGATTTCCCGTAAAGGCCGGAGTAGCCGCCGGTGGAGTGCGGCGGTGACGAGTGGCTGCCGCCGCTACCACCGCCGGTGCTCGTGCTGATAGCCGGCGGCGGCGATATCGACGGCTCCATCGACGTATCCTCGCGGCGAAGGTCGCGCGCCGTGTTGCTCTGGCTGCCGTGCTCCTCCACCAGGCCCTTCACCTTCAGCACCTGCGCGATCTTGAGCAGATCGGGTAGCTGATTCTGAGCGACGTTCACCTCGCCGCGATACATGTACTCCAGTATCGCCTGTATCTCCGGAAACCCAGCGTCCTTGAGAATTATTATCGGATGCTGGTCCTGCAGGCCGTGGAACAAATTCTGGAAGTACGTCGAGCACGCGGCCAGCACGATCTTATGGCACTTGACCGTCCTACCGCTTTCCGCGGCGATGGTGACATCGGTGAACGCCTCGTCGTGCAGCAGTTGCTCGAAGACGGACAGCAGGTTCGAGCGATGATTGTTCCATCGTAGGCAGTACTGTTGAGAGGTAGTCATGGTGTCCGGGATGATTTGATCCATCTGCGTTTGGGGACCTGCGGCAAACGCACACTCCTGTTCAAAGACCCGCTCTCGACTGCAGTTCGACCATCTCTGTCGAGGGACAAGACAGAGATCCTGTTTGCCACGCGAATTCTCCCCACCCTGATGCCAGAGTGAGTTTCCTGCCTGTGGCGTTATGATTCATATAGGAAATATCCAAAAATGGTCGGAAAATAAAAGTATCCGAATTTATCTAGCGATAAGGACTCTCGTGCTAGGGATCAAAGTTCACAGATGCATTTAGCTCGTCATTTGCACGCGACGCTTCTTCTCTCTCCGGCAATGGGAATTGAAACAACGAAAATGCCATTCGTATCGATATCGAATTGACGGCATTATCAGATAGAAGCGATTAAAACTGAGACGATTTCAGCGTCGACCTTGTGCGAATAGAAATAATGTCGAAAATTGGGAAAAATTGTATAAAAATTTACAAAACTTTCACAAAAGAACAATTCCGCGTTTTTCGAGAAATTTACGACACGATCGTATAATTTTGTTACCTTGACTATATTAATGATATTTGCAAATTAAAGTGAATTTTTCTTTTATTTTTAACATAATCCAAGTTTGAAAGGATCTATGAAATAGTTATATAAAAAAATACACGTTTGTACACATTTCTTATACATATATAATGTATAATATTATCTAGAGATTCATAATAATCTATATTAGACAAAACATCTCTCCACAAGGTTTTAGACAAGGTTACGAAATGGAAATGGATCTGCATCAATTGCATTTCAGGACGGTCACGTTCCGAATGATTCATTCTACGAATAATAATGCTTGGCCATTAATAGACACGCCTGCGGTAAAAATATTTCTGTTTTCTCCTGCATAACATTCCTCTCGCTGATCTACCTTAGTCAATCCAAATAGATCAGTCGCCGAGTAGTCCCGACGCTGTTTTCGAAACTCGCGTGGCAAAAGATTAGGTATCTTAAGGTCCGAAAGCGATTAGAAAAAGTCTGTACAAATACGAACTAGAAAATGACCACGATAATAAAGATACGATAAGACTGGCGAGACGTCGCAAAATATTTACATTGTGTGTCGAAAGAGCATTCTATTGTATTCAACAGAAATATTCAAATGTAAGTAATTGTAAAAGTTTTCCCAACTAAGTATAATTATTTCGTGTTATATCAAACCTATATGTAGAAAGCCTACTATAATAATGAAAAATATTATAAAAATAAAATCACAGTCGCTTTAGAATCGTGGTTACTGAAACAACTAGTAGTACATATAACAATACTACGCTAATGTTTTAATGCGTTAATACTGTATTACAACATCACACCCGAGCTTATTGTCAATAAAATTGCCCTACGCGGATGAAATTGTAACGCGTTACATCCGCTTTACATCTGCAGTAAATGCAATTCCTAATAATCGGCAACTTTTGCCGATTCCTGAAATTTGATTGTCATTTTCGTACGCGAAACATAAAAATGGTTGAGCCATTGTCGAGCTGTATTTGGAAATTTCCTTAACCCTTACCGTTGGCCGTTTACAGCATAGCGCATGGCCATAAAAGTTTCAAGGCAAAGAGTCAGCGTGAAAGTGATGAAAAAAATAAACCCAACCGTTATTTCTCCGTAAGCCTTCTTTTTATATATTTAAGATAAAAGAACTGAGTTGCTGGGTTACAAAGTAACTATGGCTCTGCTGATATCTTTATGAATAATATTTCATATCCTGCGTCGATCTTACTGCCGATTGTTCAAAAGGTTCTGTAAATTTCGGCAAACGCAGCGCGCATTCGAAAATCTCTAAAATTACATGATTTTTTTCTACTTCGAGCAGATTTTTTATATAAGTGACGAAAAAGTGACGTTTCTTAATGCAGGGTTTCGCCGAGCTTCGCTTGTGCAAGGATTGATACACGAGTTTCTCTTGATTTCTTTTATTGGCTTTATTTTTACACTATTCATCTCCAGATATACCTGCGTAATTTACTTTTTGATACAATATACAACTCAAAGAATATTTATTTATTTATTTTATTTTCTCCTTCTGGGTTGGTCATTTTAGATTTATCCTATCGCAGAGGTCTGTCACTTTTCCGCTACCTATTTTTACCCTCGTAAATGATTGAGATAATGAGAAAAAAAAATGAAACGATCGATGTTTCGTGGCTGGGGTGAGATCGCGTCGCGAGGGGGAAAAGCCAGTCGATATTTGCATTTCTCGTGTAGGGTGAGTTAACCGCTCTCACCGACTTCTAGCTTGATCAGTCGGTCGACCCAGTAGGAATTAGGAACGAGTACGCCGATAACAAGATGATAAGAAAACCGTAAACTGAAATGTTGCATACGTGGAAGCGATTACGACGTCCGCGTCTAACGATGCCAAGGAGCTATAGGAATGAAAACATCTTGACGTAAACTGGTCGACCTGTAAATTATCGACCGATCTACTGGCCAAACGAAATTTAAGCTTGCGAAAAAAGCTCGCGAGGGAAAGGGAGATAAGAGAAAAAATTGCCAGCGACAGAGAACGGCGAGCGATGATCTACAAACGAAAACCAGCTGATCTATAACGATCCAATAACTTGTCACTTTAAGTGGAAAAAAAATCTTTTCGTAGGCGGAAATGTGCATTAGTGCAGCGATGCAGAGATGTTAGAATCAGATAGGCGACAATGCGTTTATTTTGGTAGTAAAGAATTGATAAAATATTGATAAAAAGAACATCTTCGATCACCGATCTCTCTTATCTGTTGCTCCAAACGTTTTAAGGATCTGTATGTAATTTTTTAAAATAAATTGTGCAGTCGTGTGTTAAATTAGAAAAAAAATCGTTAAAATATCCCCAACACACTATGCGCCCCGGCGAGCGAAAAGCAGATAGAATTTGTGATTAATTCCATCCTCCCGGCGAGTCGAATCGTTAGAAGCAAAGAGGAGGAGAAAGTGCGTTGAACTTACTTGGGGACTTGATGGACTCTCCTCTCTCGCGACGGCGAAACACTGCGGGCGAAACACGGGACGATCTAATAAAAGCGAGCGCAGCCGGCGAGATGCAGAGCGGAGACTGACGTTCCGCTTCTCTTACGTCGTATACGTGCTCCGGATGATTTCACGGACGCGCAGGGCGCGGATAATCAAGGAATGACGGGCCCGGAACCACCTCACGGTCGTTATCAATGTCGTTGGTCGCCGATACCAACAAAATCTTCCTCCTCTTTCCGCCCTCCGCTCCCCTCTTTTCAATCTCGTCTAGCCGCGCGTATCGCGAAGTGCACTTACGTATATATATATATGTATTAAACTATCGAACGCGCTTACGGGGGACCCGCGGTCCTCCTTCTCCCTTCTATCGCTCGCTCTTTCCCTTCGCGCGCGCCTCGTATCTACCTATATGTATGTGTATAAGTGTACAAGTGCGGCGGACATGCCGCGCGCGGAGGACGCGAGTGAAAGAGGGAGAAAAAAAAGGGCACGCACACACTCCGGCACGCACTCCTTATTTCACGCACAACCCGCCCACCCCGCCCCCCGTTGTCGATTGCACCGACGTGGAGGACCATGCGCGCTCGCACCCGAGAATGCCGCGCGTTCTCCAAGAGACGAGTGAGACCCGTCCGGGAATCAGAAAACCTCTCTTCCTGCTCGCTCGACGACCACTGACGCCGCTTGCACCATGCCGTTGGCCGTACGACTCTTCGCTCGGCCTAGCCCATCAGTCATAGGGGTGGAACGGTGGAAGTATACGCGTCCATGAGTCGTCTCCTTCTGCGTGTTAGGGCCAATGGCGTAACCTTCGCTAAGGCCACGCGCGACCATGGGGTCCCCGCCCCGTATACACAAGTTTAACGTAATTCTTCCCGCAAGGGGTAAATTAACCAAGACGGCACGGGACCCGCGCGGGCAAAGGCGAGCGACGAAAATGTACCGGGGGTATACCGTGAAATTGTAGGCGCAAACGCGAGGAAAAATTTAAATCCGATGCAAATTCTCAAGCTCATCGTCATAACTCGCCATTGACTTCTTCTGGCGATTTGTGTGAGTCCCGAGGTCAAAGTCCGCGAGGCAGGAAAAGTTGTAGGAAAATTCGGACGCGCTTTTAAAACGGCTTGAAACAAGACGCGTTCTCCTGAAAAAGAAAGATGGAGAACGCGACATGTGTATACGTGGAACATGTGCAGTGGGAGAGATTCCGCCGTACCATTTTCACGAACTTATATACGAAAAGGGATCGTTCCTTTTGCGGAACAGATGTTTAGGAAACTGCCTCTCGCTCGTGCGTTTATTATATCCGAAAACATTTGCTCGTATTTTGGAGAACACCGACGCTTTAATTGACACGATTAACTTTTAACTTTTAATTTAATACGTGTGCTAAAATCCGGAGAGAAATCAACAATATTTTCAATACATATGTACATATATTTTTTCAATTCTAAGTTTTAAACTGCACTTTCGACACATGAAAGTTTCTTCAGAAGAAATAAGAAGCACAGATACATGTCGTCTATGTAATTTTGTTTGTCTACTAAGCGATCGTGCTATTTCTCGCACTGCATGCAAATATAAATCGTAACGACGGATAATTCAATCGTGTACACGAAGAATGTCATAATAAGAACATTATTGTGACCAAGCTAACGGTAGAATCATTCTCAATAAAATTAGTGTGATTAAAAGAAGATCTTGTCGCACAATTACCAGATGACAGAACTAATAAGGCATTAAAATCGATTTTGTAATTAAGTACAGTCTTATGCACCCTCAAAATCATTTGCTAGCTGTATTGAATCTAACTACCAGGAAAAGACTTCTATTGTTTAAAAGTTGTTTACTAGATCGTTCATTATTATAAACGCGTTTATTTTTTATTTTTTTCAAAAATAAATGTTTTTTAAAATGTTTTATTTTAATAGGATGCCTAACAATTTTGGCTAAGAATCTCACATTTAAATTCCTTTCTCGTTGACTTTTCTGACGTCGCGCGTCGTCATTCACGGGCGAAATATGTAAAACTTACGCCTTTGTAAGTTATGCGTGTGTGATAGTGACGCGCGTTTCGGCGCATCGCCACACGCGTATACGCACAGCACACGCACTTATTCGCCTATGCTCGCACTATCGGCCAATCACGCGGCTCCTAGGCCAATATCCTGCGGGATATATCACGCGCGCGTACACGCGGCATAGGCAGGCGGGCGGGCGGGCGTGTCCGTGTGCGTGCGTATTTACAAACGGCGCGATGCATGGAGCCTATTCCTACACCCACGTCAACTTCCCGCACGAAGGGCCCTACGGTACCCAGCGATATAACGCATCCACATGCGTGCGTGAGCGCGCGCGCGCCCCAAGAAACGAGGGGAGGATCGTAGAAAAAAAAAACGAGGGAAGTACGCCTAGCCGTGTGTGCGTTCACGAAAATTGCGACCATTGCGACCACGACCGAACTCCACGACGAGCCAGCAGCCCGCCGTTCGCTGCCGGGTGCGTGCGGGTGTACGTATACGTGTATATGCGTGTGTAATTTCGGCGCGTAGCCCTCGCGGGTAGCAACACGCGGGTCGACCCCGCAGCACGCATACACGCGGGCGTGCCCTACCCGAATTGGGTAACGTTACCATGCGGGGGTTGATGGCATGACGCTTCCACTCGAGTATCGTGAGAAAATCGCAAAGTTCTGGGAGAAAGGAAGGGCGAATGAAACGCGGAAATGCGCGGGGAGAGGCGGCGAGCCTCTCTCCCGGACGAGTCTTAATTAACGGATCTCCGATCCGTTAAATCCGGAGTATATCGAAAGTGGGCAAACCCCATGACGTTATCGTAAGGCATTTAGATTTAACTTAAAGAACTAGGCAGAAAAAAAATTGATCTTTAATCAAGATGAATATATTCAAATCAACGCAATCATTGTTTCATATATAAGCAAGAATCTATAATTTTCTTAAAAGGATTTTATATTTTTGTATTTTAAGAATATTATAATTTAATTTAAATATATAATTGTCACATAAAGAGTACAATATGATTATTTTGATGATGTTATCTTCTTCTTTCGATTTCCTCTTCTTCATTGTAACATAATAAAATTGAATCAACATTATTTGTGTTCACGTAGAGAATATTGAATTTTAAAATAAGATCAAACTGTCTTTATCGTTATAATATGAATATTCTTGATTTAAAAGTGTTATTCTCTATCCAATATTTTTTGCTTTCCATTCATAAAAATTATTTTTGGACACTAAGAATATATTTTTCTTTGTTGAACTACATATAATGCTTTGATGCAAGTAATTTATCATTATTTAACGCTGTATAATCTCATTTTACGCTTTACATGCCAAAACTGAAGATATTCTCTAAATAAGAATATATTTTTTTCTATGTACATACCTAACGTATGTTGATAACGTTATATAAACAAGAAAGTAACGAAGATACATAGATTGTTTGAAGAAAGTCACGTTCTGTTTAAGCAATACTGAAATTGTTTTCCTCTCCTACAATGTTAAAATATATCAGTTTGAACCTATTTCAATTGTCTCTGACTTTGAATATGCCCAACTCGGAAGACGCCTCTCACATTATTAAAATATGCATAAGTTAAAAAACGGAGAAACATTTTTGAGTACTGAGATACGTTTTATCAAATATCCTGTCTGCAAATATATGTAGCACGCATACCAATTATACAGTCTCTAAATATTAATTTATTACATGATATGATATAGCATAGAATTTATTTTAAAGAATTTGTTACGCCTTTCTCTCTCTCTTTCAAACGATGGAACTTTATTATATTTATCGCGTTAAACATCACAATATAAAAGACATTATACAATATTAGCGAATTTCGAAACGATGAGAGAAGAGGACCTATCACGATTGTGACATAGAATATTCATATGGCGTGTCGGATATAAAAGTCTCGGACGTGGAATTTCTTGGATTGCGTCCCTCCTCGACGTCGCTTTCACACGAATTTTCAATTCTGTTTGCCGTAAACCGCGTATGCAGTTGCCTGTTCGAGAATGGCCGAAAATATGCGGCATCATTCCTCCTTATCTTGGGCGTGTGTCTAAAAACGGAGGAAAGGCCCACGATAAAGCGGACGTTGGTCGAAGAAAATCGCTTCCACGGTCTGTACGTGCGAGAGGGAGCGCGCGCGTGTATGTGTATGCGTATACGCGTATATATGTGCGCGTACGCGCGTGATACGTGCAGCGGGCGTTTTTCTCAACGCCACGACGATGACGACTCCAATGACGATTTCGTAGAGGGGATCGAGCGAACGAGGCGAAACGGAGGAAAGAAAGAGAGGGGAAAGAAGGGAGAGATAGAGAGAGACGGGAGGAAGAAAGAGGAGGTATGCGACGATGGCAAGGTGAATCTTTGTCCTGTTGCGCCATCGAAATTCTACCTTATATCCCGAGGTATACGCAGGCAGATGCGTATACAGGAACGCTATGACAACAACCGGTGCATAAGCGGGTCGGTCTGATCGCCGCAGGGTGCGTCTTTCGTACTTTGTACTCGTGACGCATCCCACGATCACGTTATGATATTTATATAGGCGCGCGGCACATCGAAATGTACGATTTTCCCTACGAATCGATCTCGTACAATGTCGTTATAGAAAATCGAATTTTTAATGCGCTAATGATGATCGTTGAACTTATACTGGCCGGGGGCTGTCGCAATCGAGATAACGAGAAGGAAGTTCATAGAGCAAACTTGCGCTTTATCAATTTTAGATATATAATTGACCCTCCGTGTGCATACGTGGGTCTACGGCGTCCGAGCCGTAAATAATACCTGCTCGTGACTGTAAAACTTGCAAGTCAGAAAATATTAAATAAACGATGTCAAAATGACTATAAAATCGTCGACTACAATGTAGATAGATGTTTCATAAATTTTTTCAGTTCTTTTTTTAATACTTTAAGGGCCGGTTGTTCCAACCTATTGGTAAGCTACCTGATAGTTAAATCACATGTCTATCTTTGTCCAATGTAAAGGATAAACAAAGACATACATATGATTTAACTATTTAGGTAGTTTATCAACAGGCTGGAACAACCAGCCCTAAGATAGGGAAAAATAGCGTCGAACGTAACAGACGCGTGTACAATCCGAAGGTATATTAAAAGAAAAACGTATACAGACGGAGGGTTAAGACTCGATAATTAGTTGAAAAATATGTCGTTTCTTCTCAGATCCGAAAGGAAGAACTTTTACAAAAAAAAAGGGTTTTTACAAACAGTTCTTCCTTTTTAGTAGCTTACAATTGCGAATCGGTGTCTGAATACACGTGATGAGGAACATTTTACTGCGAATTTGTGGAGAAAACCATAAAAATTACCTGCGCTACGTGAAACACCCTTGCCTGTGTACCTTTGTCACATCTGTATTGCATCGGTTTTATGTCTACCGTAAATAACATGTACGTGACCCTGAAATCGATTGACACTTTTAGAATCAGTATTCTCCG